TGGTTGGTGTTACCAACCGGGACTAAAGGTCCTCCCTCCCCCGCCCCAGGCAGTGCCACGTGGAGGGCCTTTGGTCCCGGTTCGTAAGCAAACCGGGACTAAAGGTTTTGGGTATTAGTCCCGACCCTTTAGTCCCGGTTCCAGAACCAGGACAAATGGCCCTCTGGAACCGGGACAAATGGCCCTTTTTGTACTAGTGACTTCTCATAGAAGATACTTACAGATAGACATAATCTCCTACTTCGAAAATTAATTCTCTTCTTCGATTATCTGCATAGCTCTTCTGACGAGTTTGTGCCACTCTCAAGTTCTCTCTAATCAACCTGACTTGTTCCTCGGCATTCCTGAGCACATCTGGTCCAAAGACTTAACTTTCACCCGTTTGATTCCAGAACAACGGTGTTCTACACTTACGCCCATACAATGCTTCAAACGGTGCCATCTTTAGACTATTCTGGTGATTGTTGTTGTAAGAGAACTCCGCATACGGTAAACTTTTATCCCAACTAGTATCATACTGCAATGCACAAGCTCTCAACATATCTTCAAGAATCTGATTGAGCCTTTCTGTCTGTCCATCAGTCTGAGGATGATATGCTGTACTGAAATTCAACTTCGTTCCCAATGATTTATGCACTTTCTGCCAAAAGATGGACGTGAACTGCGGACCTCTATCAGACACAATCTTCTTAGGAACTCCATGCTGACATACTATTCTTTCCATGTATAGCTCTGCCAATCTTGCCCCGCTATAAGTAGTCTTGACAGGCAAAAAGTGAGCGACTTTAGTGAGACGATCCACTATTACCCATATAGAATCATAACCTTGCTGAGTGTGTGGTAATCCCACTATAAAGTCCGTTCCGACTTCTTCCCATTTCCACTCAGGAATCTTCATTGGTTGCAACAAACTAGCGGGTCTCTGATGCTCAGTCTTTACCCTCTGACAAGTGTCACATATAGCTACATACTCAGCCACATCTCTTTTCAATCCATACCAGCAGTACTTCTCCTTAAGATTTAGATACATCTTAGTACTTCCAGGATGGATAGAATAGGCTGTCTCATGTGCTTCACGCAAAATTGTATCATGAATGGCTTTCACCTCAGGCACACATATCCTTTTTCCAAACCATAAGGTTCCATTTTCATCAATTCTGAAGCCAGGTGCTTTACCAGTCACCACATTATCAGCTATCTCCTTTAGCTTTTCATCTTCTAGTTGACCCTTACGTATTTCTTGCTCCAACGTAGGAATCACTTTTATCTCCATAGCACTAGCAACAATACCAAGGTTCAGATGTTGCAACTCCGCATACAACTCTTCTGCCTCTGGTCTCAACTTACGATTGTTGTCATATTTCTTCCTACTGAGAGCATCAGCTACAACATTCGCCTTACCTGGATGATAATGTACCTCCGGTTCATAATCCTTGATTAACTCTAGCCAGCGACGTTGTCTTAAATTCAGACATGTCTGAGTGAATATATACTTCAAGCTCTTATGATCGGTGTAGATATCACTCTTGTGACCAATCAGATAGTGTCTCCAGATCTGCAATGCATGTACCACAGCTGCTAGCTCCAGATCATGAGTAGGATAATTTAACTCATGCTTCCTCAACTGTCTCGATGCATGCGTCGGTGGTGGTGATCTCATGTCCGCTTGCACCGTGTTCGATGAAACGCCAACGAGGGTCAAAAGCTTCGAACCACATCGGCATCGCTCGGGGTAGCAGCGGGTACACGCTGGAGTGTTGGATGTGATGCTTGGCCATCTCCAACTCACGAGCGTGTAAGAGAGAAATCATGAGACAGTAATGATTTAATTTGGTTTTGCAATGTTTTTATTTTAAAAATAGTTGGTTTATCTTTGTAAAATAGTTATTTACATGAGAATTATTGAACAAAATAGTTTTTAAAGAGCAATTTGCATTCAAGCAGTCTTCATTCTTAACGAAGCTACGAGTTCACATTTGCTCTAACCAAACGGTCTTCAGTTTTTGCCACCACAGGAGCCTTGTATTAGCTCTTGCGGTGCGAACGGGAGCTCGGATGTCCATGCGACGAAGCTGATCTATGAAAGTGGCCTTGGTGATCCTGTGCCCCGGTTGGTAGGTTGGGAGACAGCAGGGATGCAAGCCAGCGCCAACGATGGGCGAAGATTGCACGACGGATGAGCGGCGCTAGAGATGGAAAGTCTGCTGGAGCAGTTTAGGTGAAAGGATAAAGATGTAGTTTTCATTTTTTTTTCTAATAATGAAAGTCGGACTCAACTTTATGGAACTGGGCCTTATGACACGTAGGGCCCATCTGAAGCTTCTAGAGTTGTTAATCCTGTGGTTGAGAATGTGTGTGACAAAGCATGTGTTTGAGTATTTACTATCTAGGGAAGTATAAACAAATTACAATCTCAGTGGACCCATAAGCTAATATCCTTGAATGTTTTTTTTTTCTGTTTGTGTGTATATGTCGCAAGTTTTCTTGTTTTATTTTAGGTTTGGTACTGTAGCTAGGTCTAGAATAGTTTTTTTTTTGTTCTTTTTTTAATTTCAAAAAAATCGAGGGATGTCTCAGTTTTTATTAAAAGAAAGAAATATTTGGTCCAAAGTTGAATGAGCGTGTCATGCAGGGTTAAATCGGAAGATAAACTGATGAAACACATGATGCATTAGTGGATATATATGTAAATCACACGGGTGATTTGAAGACAAATTGAAAAACTATATGTCCAATACTTGCACTCACGGGCATTTTTGCTACTATTAATAAATTGGTAAAAATCAGAGAATGCGAGGCCTGGCCAAATGGGCCGGCCCGGCCTGGGTTAAACGGGCCCGAACCCCTCTTGCCCTCTCTCCTATAAAAGCTGTGCTTTTACCCCCGCACTCCATCGCCTCGCCGCCGTTCCCCGCAACACCCTGTCGACCCAATCTCACATCCTCCTCTCGCCCGCCCGAGGTGAGCACTTGTAGTTCCTCTGGATTGGTTGGTAGGCGCTGGTTCGTAGGTCTCGGATCCAGCCAGCGTGGTCTCCCTCCGCGTGCATCCGGAGTTTCTCGTTCCGATTGTGGTTGGTAGGCGCGGCGCGGCGCGGGTTCATAGGTGTCGGATCCAGCGCCGTCTGTATCCTATTCGTATGTGGAACCTCGGCTAGGATAGGATTTAATTAGTTAGGTTTTGTATTAGGGTAACACCACCTAGGGTTCGATTGATTATCCGTAACAAGGAATCAATCTGACGTTTTAGTTAGGGTTTGCTTGGTTGGTTGTGGTCAGATTTTGGTTTCTCATGAATTCTTCAACTGTGCCTGTCGCGATTTTGGGCGGAAATTGATGATTGATTTCGGGGGCAAAATCCGAGGTAATTTGTGGATGAAAGATGGGGAAACTTGGGGAAACCAAGCAAATCCATGGATCAAAATCAACAAAACTTCATCATGCCAACAAATCACAAAAAAAATTTGGTGGGGAAATTTCGAATTAGGACGAAAAACAACAAGATCAAAGCTAGAAAACGAATATTAATTTGGATGGAATTCATGCTATGTTGTTCGATTTCAGTTTATGCCTGCCAGAATGTTTAATTTTTTGTTTTATCAACTGTGTTTGAGCGTACTAGATTTTTTGTTGCATATTCATCTTCTTGCTCTGTTTGGATAGGTAACAATTAATATTTGGGATCCTAAAATATTTATGCACTGGCAGCACTTAACCTGCAGCTGCTGATTAATGTTGTATTCATATGTGCTGCTTTCCAGCTCTCTTGTTTCGATAGGTATTTGGTTATCGTTTGGGTCTATTTATTATCGTTTGTAAATGCTGGTTTGGTTTTCTGTGCTCACTATCCCCTTGCACATGGGATGCAATTTTTTTATTTCCCTGCTGTTTAGTTTATTGTTTCCTTTGATGGTAAAGAGGCATTAATTCTGGAGATAGATGCAATTTTCTTGCTCACAATAATACAATGAATGATGGCATCTCTATCTACTTTAACCAAATTATATCATATTCCCCCCTCTGTTAATTATTTTTCTGTTTTGGGTATTCATTCATTTTGTTTAGTTGCCTATCAGTATAAATACATGGCTGCATTGCTTTCACTTCATATTAATAACTATTCTGTCGCACAATGCAAATATACATATGCTGTCCTAACTAATTAAGTAGAAGCTTGGATTGGTGCTGTATGGTCTCTTCCTGACATTAAATCCTCCTCTGTTTGTGCTGTCTGTTTCTGCTGCTGCAGTCTTCTTCGCCGCCAAAAGGAAATGATGCTCTACAAAATCCACTCCCATGCCCAAATCCAAGACCTGCAGGCCCGCTCCGATGAGCTGGGCCACTCCAATAAGTCCATGCTTGTGAGTCTTGTCTCTCTGGAGTCGGTGCGCATAGCGTGGGAGTCGTATGCGCTCCTCCGCCCGCTGATCATGGAGTCGAGGTCCTGGGAATGCCCGCAGCTGGATTCCCTCTCGGACGTGGCAGGCTTGTCGCTGGAAATCCAAAAGCTTGAGCATGATGTGTTACCCCAGCTCAAGCTTCAGGAGGGTAAGCTGGAACGGGGTGCCCTGGAAGCCCTCCTACTCATTAAGAACTCAGCAAGTAAGCTCTTACATTTGAGGAAGTGCTTTGAGGAAGCCTTGGGCGTATTGCTTGCCAAGGAGGATCTGGTCTCAGCCAAAGTCAAAAGGCTGAGCATGATGCTAAACGATACTGCTGTTCATGTACTCAAAGCTAACAACACTCGCTTGTTTAAGGAGTGTGTCCTGTTTCTGGTCCAGCTGGTCACCGATGTGTTGGAGACCCCGGTTCGTTTCTGTGATACTCGTAAGTGTAAGCATTCTGATGAGTAGACTTATCAGCCAGCTCGAGGCTGTTGTGATGAGTATTTCTTAGGGGCGTGGCAAACAGTTTAGAATCAACCCTTTATGTTTGGATGTGTTATTAATGGATTTTAAATGATATGTATCTTGGGTAGTGTTCTCTCATTCTGTGCTAGTCGGGTACAACTTGCAATTACTTTCAGTTTTTTTTTTGAGAAATACAGTCACATGGAGGTATTCGCTCTTTTTGGGAATATATGCCAAAAGAATATAGTATCTTAGAAAAGAAATCCCAAATATAAGTCTTTTAAGAGGTTTCACCAAAAGACTACATACGGATGAATATAGGCATACTTTAGAACGTGGATGGATTCACTCATTTTGCTCCGTATATAGTTTTCTACTAGTGCAATTTCTTAAAAGACATGTATTTAGAAACGGAGGGATCTGTGAGTGTCCATGATTAAAGCTTTGCAAATACCATAAACAAAACATCACCTTGTACATATAAAGTGATGATTATTTTTACACTAACCGGTTTGGCAAGTAGTACTTCCTCCGTAAATAAAGAAACATAAGAGTGTTTGGATTATCATTTCTTTAGAGAGGGAGTAGTATATATATATAATTGAATTAATAATCTCTACTCCTAAAGTATCGGTTGGTCGTCTCTGTTCATCGGTTAATTTTTATCCCACCAACACCGATTTTTTTTCGTGCTCCC